TGGCTGCCAGTCATACATTCTCTTAACTGTTTGTCCAGACTCCATCCTTGAGATGTGTCCAAGCCAACTTATTCTTTGGGCTCTGATGAAGTTAACTTTGTTCCTTCCTTTTATTAATTATCTAGTTTATCATTTGTTTTAATTCTCCAGGAGCCATCACTACTTCTTGATGACCCGAAGACCTTTCTCAGAATTTTCCTTTCATAGACTAAAAGTCTATGTTTAATTGCTTCTTTAAGTGTCCAGGTTTCACAGGCATAGGTTACTGTTGGTCAAATTACCATCTGGTATAATCTTAATTTAGCTGTTTTAGAAATAAGTCTACTTTTAAACAGTGTTAAATGTGCAGCATATGATTTATTTCCAGTTTCTAACCTATCTTTAATCTCTTGTTCAGTTGTGTTATCTGAATTAACTATAGACCCTAAATATTTATAATGAGAGACTTGTTCTATGTTTATGTCACTGCATCTGAGATCTTGAATTATTTGAGGTTTGTCAGAACAGTGTAGGAATTTAGTTTTTTGTTCGTTGGCTAACAGCCCATACTTTTGCGAGGCTTTTTTAAGCTCTTCAGAGGTGGTAATCAATGTTTGTTTGGTTCTTGCAATAATAAGTATGTCATCGGCATATTGTATGCACAACACTGTTTTAACCTTGTGGAAATATTACCTCTAATGTCTAGACTGCATTTTCATTAATAGAAGTTGTTTACTTTTAGGTGTTCGGAAGATTGTCATTGCTACCAACATAGCTGAAACATCCATCACAATTGATGATGTTGTGTATGTGATAGATTGTGGTAAAATTAAGTTAAAGAATTTTGATGTGAACAGTAACATCTCAACACTAAGAGCAGAGTGGGTGAGCTTAGCCAATGCAAGACAGAGACGTGGACGAGCAGGCAGGTTAGAAACTGATTAAGTAGTTACTTTATTCCATAGTCTGTTATTTATAATTATAACAAAGTGAGTTTTATACATCTAGAACTGTCATGTTTACTAAAATCACACTAGTCCAATGTAATTTAAATTTACAACTGAAAATGTTTCTTAATTGCCTTCTGAAGGGATAGGGGCACGCGGTAGCATAGTTGGTTGAGGCACTATGCTACAAGCTGGAAGGTCGCAGGTTGAAGTCCCGATGATGTCATTGGATTTTTTCAATTGACCTAATCCTTCCAGCCGCACTATGGCCCTGGGGTCGACCCAGCCTCTAACAGAAATGAGTACCAGGAATTAATTAAATAATTTTCCTGGGGAGTAAAGCATGGCCGGCATGTAAGGCTGACAACCCTATCGCCATCTTTGAGCCGATTGTCTAAATAATGTGGGACCCTCAACGTCTCACAATCCTGTGGTCCTTCACAACCTGTTACAGGGATACCTTTACTTTGCTTTACTTGACTTACTTTTACTGTATAGTATGGTTACTGCAAACAGTATGGTACTTGGACTGTTAGTTGCCATACAGTGAACTTCTTTTTTATGAATGTGACAGGAAAATTAGTGGTGAATGACATACTTAAACAGAAGCCCAAAATATTGTGACATGTTGAGCTATGGATCACCCCTACCTCCCCAGCGGTACGTGGCGGTAACGTAACGCTCGCGTTACTACGGTAATAGGCGAGTTCCTGCCCCGCCACTCCCCTCTGCAGTGACGTCACGC